TGCAAGAAAATAAGTGTCTCCTAACAATTTAGGAAAACTTGAAAAATGCTTACTAGATTTTTTTAAAAATGGGAAAGCAAAGAAAGTACAGTTGCCTGTCCTGAAGATACACATGGCATTTTAAAGTTACTTATTAAAGTGGAGAAGTTAACATGCCTCTTCCAGTACTTAAACAAGTTTTGCTTCTGCCTTTGTGAATTGTAATGAATTAATAATGTGTGATAAAAGTGTGACAGAATAAAAGTAAAAATGAGACCACAAAACACCTTTTACTTCTTTGTAATTGATGATCTTACAAAGCAGGGTACTCCTAAAAAGAGAAAAATTAAGTCTTGACAGTAACTTTAGCTAGAAATTTGTTAAGTAAGCATGATGCCTCCAATATTGTCAGATATAATGGTTTCACTTGTGACTTTAAAAGATGATCATTTCACCTATCTTCTGACACGTTATTCTCTGAAAAATAGTAAAGCATGATGGGAGTATATTATGTAACAGCCAGGAATGAGATTGCTGAGGGCTTCTTTCACAGTGAGTCAGTCCTAAGAATAACAGTATTTCTGTAAAACATTTTCTGTGTGCTTTACCTGGGTATAGAAAAGTATATGTATGTTTGAAGCTGCTGCCCTTAGAGCTTCCCTTTTGTTCAAGCGTTTCTCTGAAGTGCTGTGACGGGGATGCTTTCTCCTTTGTATACAAGTGAGAAACAGAAATCACACCAGAACACGTGAGGAACGATGAAGTTAGAACCCCTGAAAATGTTAGGTAAAAATAGCAAACGTTGGGATAACTGTAGATCAAACTGAAATAATTATATTTTTAGCCTGTGTAGTACAAGTGATGGATGTGGCATCACGGATTTGATGTATAATGGATCTCAGGGAAGGAGAGTTCTGAGAGTTGGTCCCGGGCCTCTTCACGTTCATACATGACCAGGGCAGCAAGTACATTTGGTTCAGTCCCTTGCCTGTTTGTAATTTCAGCTCTATCAGTAAACAATCAGTGTGCAAAAATAAATTACTTTGACACTAATAATAATGTTTACAATGCTTGTTTTTAAATTCTCCCTTTAAAGAAAGAAAATGAACATTGCCTTTGTGATAATTTCTTAAACTTGTTACTGGTGTCCTGTTGTTACAAAGTACCTCCCTAACAGGAACTTATCTTGAAATAGCAATTTTAAGCCATATTTTCATGGATGTAATAACTTCTATATTTAAAACACTGTGAGTTCAAAATGTTAGTGTAATTAAAAGATGGTTAACTCATTTTAACCTGACATAATATTGCCTTTAAATGATGCAGGATTAAAGGTTTAGCAGTTAGATGATACAATTGCAAATTACATTCAGAGTTCTCCTGCATAGATTTTCTTATTCTAATTATAATACACGTCTGCAATCAATATAATAAGAAGAGCCACGGAAATAAGTTATACAAATCATTCTTTTCACAGTGTATCTCAAGTCGACACTTGGGCTCTGCACATTAGTAAAATGTCTTGCTATTCCGAAGAGCCCTGTTCTCAGTAAAAAGTCCTCAATTTGGCTTACTTCCTGCCAATTCAATTGAAGTGCTTGTTGCTGAATAATCTTAAAGTATGCAAACAAAATTCAATCCTGTATGTGACATGCTAGGTTGTTTTTGTGTTCAAGACCATCTTTTAGAAATTGTGATTCACTGTAACTTTTTTAGAGTGCTGATAACATTTAAATTTTGATCACAAAATTGCAGTTGAGCATGTGAGAATAATACTTAACATGATCATGTTTTTAGTGTTTTATATAAACTGATAGAAATTAGAAGTGCCAATTCTGATTTATTTGCTCAAATAAGAAATCTAAATAGTATTGAACACTTTTTGTCACTAATTAGAGTTTTTAAGATACCTTTTAGTCAGAAGTGAAATTTATTATGAAGCGTTGGTGATAAACAAATTGTTAACCAGTTGTCAGTTTCCTTAGGTTCATTAGCACTGTTAACTTTAACAGATCCAAATGGTCAGAATGCCAGCTTTACAATTTCCTTCAATTTGAAGGAATGTAAGTAGCAGATTGTTTTACTTTGACAAGAATATCATCATTATGTTGAGGTAATTATCACTTAAACTTACACTAAACAAAATCACTTACTTGGCAGAAAGAACTTAAATATTCTATGTATAGTCTCTACAGTTGAGACACTATTGTAATTTAGCATTCTACCCATGAGAAAAAATGAAATTACCTATAGGAAAATTCCCGAACTCAATTCATTTGAAAATGAACCCTAAAAAATGCTTAACGCATAAAAAACTAATGGAAAGTAAAAATGCAAATCTTTAAGGTAAATAGAGATTTGTTTGGGTCAAGACCTTTGCAAAAAAAAGCACAAGATCTTTGGGTAAAACAAAAATGTTTCTGTATATCACATGCTATAGTTTATTACAAAGAAAATCTGGAAAATGTTCATTTGTACAAATAATTCTTTCAACATTGAACTGACTTTGAATGATGCAGAAGTCGGCACAACTCTTAAGCATTTTCTCTGAATAGAAAAGTGCTCCTTTAATAAAATATATATTGTTTAATTTTGTAAAATTATAGTTATATACCACGTGGATGTTTCTGTGCATCATGTAAGTTACACATTTTATCTTACCTAAGGAATTTATAAGCTAAAAATATATCAAGCAACTAGCAATTTTAATTTTGTTAAGATTTTCCTTTTTTAAAAAAAGGTTTATATCACAACTTTAAAATGTTGTAAAATAACTTCTGAAGTCAGTCCCTTGTTTAATCATTTGATTGCTTAATGCAGATGAACTTTTTAAAATACCTATTTAGATTACTTATTTAATGGGTAAATCTAAGAACATTCCACAGTTAAGAAACTTTAAAGCAGAAATTCTTGCAATTTTATGAAAAATTTTAAGATACAGGCCTAGAATTTTAAATAGCCCTTATTTTTGTGATCAATCACTAAGAAATTGTTTACCTGAAGATTTTAGGTTGTATTGCCTTTTTTGCCCTATTCCATAACCTTAGCAGGTTTACAATTAGATGCTGCATACATTGAGGAAAGTTGAGTGCTCTGAGTGTTTTGTTAATGTGCCTATCTGCAGTATAAATCGCGGTGCCTTTGCTTGCAGCTACCCTCAACCTCATTACAGATACCTATTACATTCCTTCCTCTGCGCTGTAATGAGGCTGCTCGCTGCAGCCTGATCTTCCGTGCTGAATTTAGTTTAAAAGTCTAGCAGCCTTTATGGGCTACAAGCTCTAACTTCTTTTCCCCTTCAAATGGCTTAGCCAGTTAAGAAAATGCTAATTGAATGCTGCTAATAATTTTTTAAAGGCATGTATAAATTACCTGGAAATAATGGCCTCATGGAGAGCAGCAGGACTAGCCTCAAAAAATATTTTTATTTCTTTTCCAGGAGAGAGAGCTGTGTACTTTCACTGAATATGTTTTAAAAATCAGTTTTCTCTACTGAACTCGGTGCTGAATTATTTCTCCAAAACCCTAAAAGAAAAAAATAAAGACTTTTTAGCAAATTGTGTGCTGATGATTAAACATTAGTTTTTTTGTGCAGACCGACCTTAAGGATATTTTGTTCTCACATTCAACTACACGTGTTTAACAAAGAGCTGACTTGCAGCTGTCATTGGCTCTGTTCAAACTGATTTGTTGCTGTCGCTCCATCTGTAAGTTGACAAAAAGCAGCTATGAGTCGGTAACACTCAGGCGGCAGGGAGAACCCAGTAGTGCTTGGGCGGGACTTTGCACAACCCAGCTCTCCAAAAGGTAGCAGCCAGAAGCGTGATCGCGTGTCCATGTCTCATTCCTGTACAGCTCTTTATTTGATCAGGTGTGAATTAGAGTTGTTCATTAAACACGGTTGTTATTCGGCACAAGAGGGTAAGGGGAGACAGAGGAAGTGGCTGCCTACAACAGTAATTAAACATGTGTAACCAATTAGAGGGTTTTCCACTATGGCACAAGCATATAATTTGCTAAGTCTTTCTATGAGAATAGATGAAAATAGGTACAAAAAGTGTGTCTGACTACAACATTCTCATGTTAAACATGTCAACATAAATGAACTTTAAATATATAATTTCTAGTTTGTTAACAAACCACTGAACTCTATTGGCTAATCACAATAACATGTAATTTTAGTTCATCTTGCCAAGAAATATTGCATCTGACAGAGCCAGTTAATTGTATTAAACATGATTCATTTTAGGCCTAGCCTATATTGATAGTCATCTGGCAAACCTAAAATGTAGAAATGTGCCCCTTCTACAAGGGAAGTCTGGACAAAAAGGATTCAAATAGGATGGTCGAACTCTTTAAGTCAGGAGAGATTGTTCTCAGCAGAAATGCAAGAAGTGCTTATATTTTCTTTGTTACATTTATAAATGAAAGTATTTAACCGAAATTTCCTACAGGAAAGAAATGCCTATCGATTCCAAGGGTTCTATAGAATTACTTTAGATCTGTACCGCCTCAGCCCTGCATAGAGATAAATCCTTGCAGCAGCCGAGCCGAGACCACACCACAGTGCAGGCAGCCCTGCTCAGGTGCTGACGCGCTGCGGAGGTTGTGGATTAGTTTAGCAGTGTTAAGTGAACTGGCAGAGGCATCTGTAATTTCACTGGAAATGAGGAAGCCCGATGGTAAAGGGGAGCCCTAATGAGCCCATCGAAGCTGGCTTTGTACCCAACCGACAGGGTGGCTGTGGATTGTATGAAAATATTGGAAATCAATGACTTCTATGGAATTTCATTAAGAAGCAGTATCCACAATTGATAGAGCCTCATAATTTGATGGATTGTGCTAAGAAAATGATTAGCTAGCTAGAAAGAGTCATAGAACACACATGCTGGGACGTCAGAAATGTTGAAGTGGGGTAATTTGTACAAAATAAAAAATATTGATTTTACTTATGGGCAGAATTTTGAAACTGAGGGCGGTTGTCTGGCAGGCCCTGCTGATGGCGTCCTTTGGTTTCCTAGGCGTCCCTGGGGAAGGCGCAGAAGACGCAGACAGTGGGAACGAGAGCCGGAGCGGCGGGGAGGAAACCAGCGTGTGCGAGAAATGCTGCGCGGAGTTCTTCAAGTGGGCCGACTTCCTGCAGCACAAGAAGAGCTGCACCAAGAACCCACTGGTGCTCATCGTGGGTGAGGATGAGCCTGCGCCGCCTGCGGAGGAGTTCCCAGAAGCCTCACCTACCAGCTCACCAGGAGAGCGGGCCGAGGCCGAGAGTGAGGCTGCCGAGGAGGCCGCCCCGGCAGAGGGCGAGGCAGAGGCCCCGGCGCCTGCGCGTGAGCTCGAGCCCATGGACGTGGAGGCACCCGGGGACAAGGGCAGCACAGGCCCGGGCACGCCCGCCCCACCACCCCCAACACTGGCCCCTGCCCCTGAGCCCACCACACCGGCCTTCGCGATGCCCAGCACCAACGTAACGCTGGAGACGCTGCTCAGCACTAAGGTGGCTGTGGCGCAGTTCTCACAGGGCGCCCGCGCAGCTGGGAGCACGTCGGGCACAGGCGTGGGGGCTGTAGCCATCCCCATGATTCTGGAGCAGCTGGTGGCCCTGCAGCAGCAGCAGATTCACCAGCTGCAGCTCATCGAGCAGATACGCAGCCAGGTAGCCCTTATGAGCCGCCAGCCTGCGCGGCCACCCCTGAACCCAGTGGTGGCAGCAACAGCTGCGACAGCACCAGCACCTGGCACACCTGGCCCACCTTCCCTGGCTGCACACCCTGCACGGCAGCTCTCAGCTACTCCGGCCCCCAGCTCTGCAGGCCCCACAGGTCCACAGGCCACCTTCGAGAGCCCCCAGCCACTTTCACAACCTGCATCAGGAGCAAGCCCCCAAGAGGGCCCCAGTTCAGCGGAGTGCGCAGCGCCCCCAGCCTCCAGCATTGGGCCTACTGCACCAGGCAGCACCCCGCAGCTGCAGAATGAGTCCACGCCCCCTGCCCTGGGCCCTGGGTCCCTGCTCAGCTCAACTCCCAGCCTGCCAAGCCCTCTGCTACCTCAGTCCTCTTCTAGCAGCGTCATCTTCCCCAACCCCTTGGTCAGCATTGCTGCTACAGCCAATGCGCTGGACCCGCTGTCAGCCCTCATGAAGCACCGTAAGGGCAAGCCACCCAACGTGTCAGTATTTGAGCCGAAGGCCAGTGCCGAGGACCCCTTCTTCAAGCACAAGTGCAGGTTCTGTGCCAAGGTCTTCGGCAGCGACAGCGCACTGCAGATCCACCTGCGCTCACACACTGGCGAGCGGCCCTTCAAGTGCAACATCTGTGGGAACCGCTTCTCCACCAAAGGTAACCTGAAGGTGCACTTCCAGAGGCACAAGGAGAAGTATCCCCACATCCAGATGAACCCCTACCCAGTCCCAGAGTACCTCGATAATGTGCCCACCTGCTCGGGAATTCCCTATGGCATGTCACTGCCCCCAGAAAAGCCGGTAACCACCTGGCTGGACAGCAAGCCAGTGCTGCCAACAGTGCCCACATCTGTGGGACTGCAGCTGCCTCCCACCATCCCCAGTACTCACAGCTACACTGACTCCCCTAGTGTTACCCCCATCAGTCGCTCCCCCCAGAGGCCCTCTCCTGCATCCAGCGAATGCACCTCCTTGTCTCCAGGCCTCAACCACGCTGATGCCAGCATCTCAGTGACAGCCGAGTCCCCACAGCCACTCCTCAGTGGATCTTTGACTAAAACAGAACAAACTGTTGGCCTGCCTTGCACAAATGCAAGGACAGGGGACATTCCTGTTGGTGGACAGGTCAGTGCTGTGTCCACATCTGCAGCCACTGCTGTCACAGACAGCACTTCCACCAGCCTTGGCAGCCCCAGTCTTCCAGCAGCCTCTGACCAGTTCAAGGCCCAGTTTCCCTTTGGTGGCCTGCTTGACTCTATGCAAACGTCAGAAACCTCAAAACTGCAGCAATTGGTAGAGAACATTGATAAGAAGATGACAGATCCAAATCAGTGTGTCATCTGCCACCGGGTGCTGAGCTGTCAGAGCGCCCTGAAGATGCATTACAGGACGCATACAGGGGAAAGGCCCTTTAAATGCAAGATCTGTGGCCGAGCCTTTACCACCAAGGGCAACCTAAAGACACACTTTGGGGTTCACCGGGCCAAACCACCCCTGCGGGTGCAGCACTCCTGTCCCATTTGCCAGAAGAAGTTCACAAATGCGGTGGTGCTGCAGCAGCACATCCGAATGCACATGGGGGGCCAGATTCCCAACACGCCACTGCCAGAGGGCTTCCCGGATGCCATGGATGCGGACCTGCCCTTCGATGAGAAGAACGTGGAAACCCTGAGCAGTTATGACGATGACATCGATGAGAACTCGATGGAGGAGGACACAGAACTAAAGGACACGGCCAGTGATTCGTCCAAACCACTCCTTGCCTACTCGGGGTCCTGCCCACCCTCACCTCCCTCGGTCATCTCCAGCATTGCTGCCCTAGAGAATCAGATGAAAATGATAGATTCAGTCATGAACTGTCAGCAGCTGACCAGCTTGAAGTCTGTGGAAAATGGATCCGGGGAAAGTGATCACCTCAGCAATGATTCCTCGTCTGCAGTGGGGGACCTGGAGAGCCGCAGTGCAGGCAGTCCTGCCCTGTCAGAATCCTCATCCTCCCAGGCACTGTCACCTGCCAACAGCAATGGCGAGAGCTTCCGCTCTAAGTCCCCAGGCCTTGGCAATCCGGAGGACCCACAGGAGATCCCACTAAAGACAGAAAGGCCGGACAGCCCACCCCCAGGCCCAGGAAATGGAGGTGCCCTGGACCTGACAGCCAGCCACCCTGGCCGGCCCATCATCAAGGAGGAGGCCCCCTTCAGCCTGCTGTTCCTCAACAGAGAGCGGGGTAAGTGTATGAGCACTGTGTGTGGTGTCTGTGGCAAGCCCTTTGCTTGCAAGAGTGCGTTGGAAATCCACCACCGCAGCCATACCAAGGAACGGCCATTTGTCTGCTCAGTCTGCAGGCGGGGGTGTTCCACTATGGGTAATTTAAAACAGCACTTACTGACACACAAATTGAAAGAGCTGCCTTCTCAGGTATTTGACCCCAACTTTACTCTAGGTCCCAGCCACAGCACTCCTAGCCTGGTCTCCAGCCCTGCGCCCGCCATGATCAAAATGGAAGTGAATGGTCACAGCAAGGCCATCGCACTGAGCGAGGGCCCACCACTGCCAGCTGGGGTCCAGGTCCCCACAGGGCCCCAAACAGTGATGACCCCAGGCCTGGCACCCATGCTGGCACCCCCACCACGCCGGACACCTAAGCAACACAACTGCCAGTCCTGTGGAAAGACCTTCTCCTCAGCCAGTGCCCTGCAGATCCATGAGCGCACCCACACTGGGGAGAAGCCCTTCGGCTGTACCATCTGTGGGAGGGCCTTCACCACCAAGGGCAACCTCAAGGTAAGGGGGCCTTGGGCTTGAGGCTGCGGCTGAACCACAAGGGTACCTCCACAGCTCTTTGTGCTGATTGTCGTGGGCTGAATGGAAAAATTCTGCTCTTGCCTTGGCCCAGAGGATAAGACGTTAGAGGGTATCCTGTGTGGATATGAAGTGACTTATGTGTGGGGGTATGAGTATGTAGTATGGGTGGTGTGAAGTGTACATATGTGTACTATGTACATATATGTTCATATGCTAATACCCTCAAAGCATGTATCTCATTCAACAGAGGAAAGAATAGGAGTCTAGGCCTCCTTTCCAAAGAACATAACCACCTCTGTTGACTGCTGCGGCAGTCAGGATGATAGCACACACATTGCAACTTGGAGAGCAAGCTCAGGGCAGGAAACTCTTAAATCTGATAATAAAATAAATTTGACCTTTAATCACACACATATAATACAAATAAGTCAAAGATGAGACTCAGTGACTTCTAAAAGGTTCTTATCCACAGAGGGGGCGCAGGTGAGAAGCTCTCCACCAGGAGGGGACCAAAGAGAAAACACAGCAGCAGCACTGTGTCTTCCTCAGGAGACATAAGGTGGGCAAGATGCTGCTGACTCCTAGGGCATGTGTCCACAAGACCTTAGCTAAATGTGCTTTATAAAGCATATATTCCAAGGACAGGCAGTGAGCTCACTTTGTTCTGTAAAACATGTTCCATAAAACATGTCTACAGAGACTGCCTGTGATGGGACAGAATTTCTCCAGAGACAGTCAAAGCCCAACACTGGTAGCTTCTCTGCTGGACTTGTGTTGTAAGGATAAGAGCTGCCTGAGGACTCTGCTGTTGCAGATGGCCCTAAGATGTTTTAGAACTAATGCTTCCTTGTTTAAAAGAAAGAGGAAAAAGGCACCAGTTGATGAAGAGTTCAAGCAGAGGATGTTTCCTGGAAGCTCTGGAAATTCCCTGTGGGCTTTTAGGTTTATCAGGTGTGTTAACTGAAAGAACACACTCATTAACTTGCTGGTTTTGCTTTTTGCATTCACAAAATGAAATATTGCATATATGAGATGCTCAGAAAAACTTCCCTGTGTTTTTACTATGCCTAAACAAACGCTTACAATGGGGACAGCACTGTGGAACAACATAAACAGGACATACCCATCTCACAGTTGTGGACTCTCTTACTGTGGCTTATCTATCTTACACAGGTACACATGGGAACTCACATGTGGAATAATGCCCCTGCAAGGCGTGGTCGCCGCCTGTCCGTGGAAAACCCCATGGCCCTGCTAGGTGGTGATGCCCTGAAGTTCTCTGAAATGTTTCAGAAGGACCTGGCAGCTCGAGCCATGAATGTTGATCCCAGCTTCTGGAACCAGTATGCAGCAGCCATCACTAATGGGCTCGCCATGAAGAACAATGAGATCTCTGTCATTCAGAATGGAGGTATCCCCCAGCTCCCAGTAAGTCTAGGCGGAAGCGCCATTCCCCCTCTGGGTACTATGACCGGTGGGATGGACAAGGCCCGCACTGGCAGCAGCCCACCCATTGTCAGTTTGGACAAAGTAAGCTCGGAAACCGGAGCCAGCCGTCCATTCACAAGATTTGTTGAGGATAACAAGGAGATCGGTATAAACTAGCTGGACTCACTGGGACTCAATCCATCTTTTCTGTCCATGCTCACATTTTATAGTGTGAGCGTCAGGCTTTGGACCCTCATGCTAGGTTCTCATTAAAATTTTACTTATGGCAGAAATACTTTGACCGTGTGGCTGCCAAAAGGTCGTCTGTGAGCGCTGCATGGTACTTTGCTCAACAGTGGGTTTGACTGTTCTTAAGAACTCTGCAACCTTTTAAATAAATTCCACTTAAAAAGAATAAAAAAAAAAAAAGAAGAAGTGCTTGGAAAACCGCCTTAGAACAGAAAGAGCTCAGAGCATTTCCACTTTCTTTGTCCTAAAACCTAATAACCCTTGCAGGGGAGAATGGGGGTCCCCTGTAATATTCCAGTGAACCCCACTCGATGGTTTTGTTCAAATTAGTTAGAAACTTGAACTATGTTTTAGGAACTCTTCATCTTTAAGAAGTGGTTCAGTACTCTCAATGCTGTGTATTATGACAGTATCATTGTCCGTAGTATTTATAATGTTAAGATTATGCGGGTAACAGACAATAAAATAGCCCCAACCTTAAATGAAGCTTTTGTACTGCAGAATACATCTGGCTATGTGATTTTTTTTTAAAGCAAGATTTGTTTTACCATAAATAAGTGGATTATTTCAATGCAGGCAAAATTGTGACGTTCTATTGGGAAAGATAGCATGCCTTTTGTGTGCAAGTACCTGTCAGTAACAAGCCTTTTATTATTTTTTTTTAACTTAAATGTTTGTAGCTGCTATGTGGACAGTTGTTCTCTAGTGTGGTCTGTAGCCCAGCGCTTGGTTGGGAAACAAGTTACAGACAAGCATCACCATAAGTTATTCACAACATTATAAACAGTTGTGAGTAAATATTTCACATTATCAAAGCTGTACAATAAAAAGGTAATGTTTGTATAATGTGGTTGCAAATTCTTAATTTATATGATTGCACTTTTAGTATTTTGTATTAGGGAGGTTTGTCTATAATTTGAAAATTTAAAAAGATGTAAAGTATTTTATAAATAGTACTTTGGTTTAAGGAAAATGGAAAAAAAATCCTGTTATGGTTTCTTGTTTTGTCTTAAGGTCAAACAATATGAAAAATCTATGCTACTTAAGCAGAAAAGCCACCAACACTTGTCAGCGCCTCAATAAAATAAGGCCTGCCATTTCTTAATTTAACATGATTTATTTAACTTTTCTACAAAGCCCATTTAAAAACTGTGACCACCCTAAAATTTGGACAAGTTAATCTTAGAGCTGTGACATCAATACAAGTCCAGAAATAACTGAGAAATGTTGTATAGATATGATTTTTACTGTACACTTTCCTGTCTCTTTCTCACATGCACACAAACAAAATTGTAACCGCGTAGTAGTGATGGTTACGCATAGAGTGAAAGAAATAGCAAGTGTCTGGCAGCATAACCAGTCAGAACTTTGAACTTTCCTGAATTCCTGATTTTATTTATTATCTTCTCAATGAAAACAAAGCACAATGTCCTCTGATTATTCAAAGTACAATCTTCTGCTGATGATTTTATCTAAATTGCATCACGTGAGCAAAGGTGGGGTTAAATCAAAACTTGAACGCCAGTGTTGTGTGTACTACCTCATTCTTGTGCATTGCAAATGTGCTGGGATCTGACACAGTGAACTTCCAACAACAGAATTGTTCAAGAGATATTGTGAGTAGCTGGGTTACAGCGTGAGGAGCTGTCAGCCCCTGAAGAAGGAATCAGACAGTGAATCTTCTCAGTTGAAACAAAAATAGAACAATCTTTCTAACACAAGTCCAGCAACAGCAAAGGGTGTTGGAGGAGGACAGGCTCCTCTGTCAGCATGTTGTTGAACAAAGAGTTTCAAAGGCTCTTTAGCTGTTTGTTTCTGTTGGAAATGAACACTGAACTCTACAACTCTGTTTTCCGTGTGGTGAGATGTGACACCTCTGTGTCACACCTCTGTGTCTTGCCGACTCTCCTGTTGGATGAGTGACAAGGGTGTGTCCGCATTGGGAAGAGGAAACCGAGGTGGCTTAATGTTGCTGTGTTTCAGCAGTTGAATGTTTTGTTATTTATCTTTGTCCTTTTGTTGTGTTTTGTTTTGTTTCGTTTTTGTTAGTATTTGGCATTCTGTTAGTGTCCTCTCTTCTCCCAGAAGGATGTGTATATAATTTAAAAGAAATGTAAAGTGTTATAAATAAGGTGGCTCATGAAGGGACAAGTGAGACCGACCCCAGTCTGTACTCAGGGCTGGCTCATCCCTGCATGGTGAAGAGAGACACTATTTTTTTACTGTAATACCATGTAGGGTGAGGACCTCCCTGAGCCAACTGGGAATTGTTACCTAGATCCAATATTTTTTATGATTAAATCTTGTGGCTTGACACATCTACTGATTGAACTGGATGTCTTAGTCTAGGTTACTATTTTTGTCATATGGAACTGAATAAAATGCAGGATGTGATATTATTTCTGTACTGCGTTCCTTGATTCTTCTCATGGAAAAGTGTAATTTGAGGTGGTCATTTATGGTGGATGTGTGCCCACGGTGTGCTACAAGGAAAGTCAGTGAGAATTGACAGCTTAGATATCAGCAACTTTGGGGCTTTTTTCCAAAATAAAAATTCATTCTTCTAATTTTAGAATTTTTTTACATGACTCATGGAAGAAAGTGTAATAGAAAATGCCTACTTGTTAAAGACTCAGCCGTGCCCAAAGATGACTGTACTCAGTTGCCTTCCCCTCACTGGCATAAGTGAAAATAATGGTTTTTCAGGTCACTTGAATAAATAAATGTGCATCAAGTAATGTTGCAGGAAGAAACATGAGCAGGAATGTGCTCACTGCGCCACCAACACCACAGACAGCTGCATGAGTTTACTAATATTGGCCCTGTGTGTGTTCTCCAAATGGAGGACATCCTTTATCTTTAAATAAGCTTTATCTCATGGATAACAATTAATAAGACTCACAACTTTAAATAATTTAATTGCTTCTGGATTTTATGATATATAATCCATTTCTTTTCTGAGAAAAAAATTTAAAGAAATAACTACTGATACAGAGAAGCCACAGTAATCTTTATCAGGGAAGGATTAGGC